TGTGCACGACCGATCCTTACGGAATCCAGTCTGTTGATCCCTAAGTTCTGCATCTACTGCGTCTTTCATCCGATTCAGCAGCACTCTGTTGAAAACGTTTCCTGGTACTGATAACAAACTGATGCCTCTGTAGTTTTCACATTTGCTCGGATCTCCTTTCTTTGGTATCTTGATGAGATATCCTTCTTTCCAGTCCATTGGCACTTGTTCCTCTTCCCAAATCTTCTTGAATAAAAGGTGAAGCATGTTTGCAGTTATTTAAATGTCTGACTTCAGTGCTTCTGCTGGTATGTTGTCAGGTCCTGCCGCCTTCCCACTTTTGATTTGTTTGATGGCCATCTTGACTTCTTCGATCGTTGGTGGAGTGACATCTATAGGAAGGTCTTTGTGTGCTACTTCGATGTTCGGTGGATTCGATGGGGCTGGTCTATTCAGCAGTTCCTCGAAGTATTCTGCCCATCTTTTCCTCTGTTCTTGAATCTCAGTGATTGTCTTTCCTTCTTTGTCCTTGACTGGTCTCTCTGGTTCACTTCCCTGTTTGCTTCTGCGTAGTCTGCTTGTGCTTTGACTTTCTCTGCTCGTGTTCGGCTGTTGTTAATTGCTAGTTTCTTGTTCTTCCTTTCTTGAATTTTTTCCAGGGTTTCCATAGAGATCCATTCCTTGTGATGGTGCTTCTTAGGACCAAGAACCTCCTGACACGTTGAAGTTAGTGCTTCTTTTATCCCTTTCCAGTTGTCCTCCAAAGTAGTTTCTTGTTCTTTCAGTAGATCCTGTAGAGCCTCGAACATGTTGTTGAGAGTTATTTTGAATTCATGGAGCTTGTCAGTATCTCGAAGGAAGGCTGTATTGAACCTTTGTAGTGCTGTTTGTCCAGTTGTCCAGTCTTTCTTTAGCTTCAGTCTCATCTTGGCCACAACCAGGTGGTCATCTGAAGCTATGTCAGCTCTCCGGGTTCTCACATCTTCCATTGATCTTCGGAATTTTTTGTTGATACAGATGTGATCTATCTGGTTCTCTGTGGTGTGATCCGTTGAGATCCATGTAGCTTTGTGTATGCGCTTGTGTGGGAATATTGTGCCGCCTATAACCAATTTGTTGAATGCACATAGGTTTGCAAGTCTCTCGCCATTTTCATTTCTCTCTCCTAGTCCATGTCGTCCAGTTATATCTTCATATCCTGTGTTGTCCACTCCAACTTTAGCATTTAGATCTCCCATCAGAATGGTGAGGTCCTTTCGTGAGCACTTTGCTATAATTGATTGCAGCCTTTCATAGAACTGATCTTTATCATCGTCGTTGCTATCATTGGTGGGTGCATAACATTGGATAACGTTCATTGTGATCCCTTGCTTTTTTGTTCTGAATGATGCTTTGATTATCCTGGGTCCATGAGATTCCCATCCCACAATTACATTTCGTGCTTCTTTGGACAGCATTAGAGCAACTCCCTGAGTGTGTGGAGCATTTTCCCCTTCGTGACCGGAGTACAGCAGCATCTCTCCTGTACTTAGCCTTTGTTGTCCAGTTTGTGTCCAATGGGTTTCGCTGATTCCGAGTACTGCCAAGTTGTATCTCCTCATTTCCATTGCTATTTGGCTGGTCTTTCCTGTCTCCCACATTGTCCGGACGTTCCATGTACCTATAGAGAGTGTTGCTCTGGTTGTTAGAAGGTGCATCGGTCTCGTGACTTCCGAAGAATTCCGACTTTCATCATGAGACGTCATAATTATTCCTTGAACTCGGAGGGAAGAGTTTAAATTATTTTTTCTGGTTAGCGTTTTTTTAGCGAGTTAACTTTTCTACGGGACGGGGTCGCTAACCCCATGCCCAACCCTCCTCCTTTACCCCGGCTTGAGACCGGCAGTAACTCCAGAAGAGCTGCAGGCGGAGTTAATTACTTACCTACTTACCTCAAACAAAACACAATCTATCTATATTTGAATGTATATCGAAGTATGTAAAACTTCCTATGTTACATTGTCCATTCATGTTTTGCTCTTAAAGATTAAGTACTGTAGAACAAGAACACAGTCGTAATTTAACTCTTAAGTTCTATAATTCACTATTAATTGGTCTGATAGTATTTTGGATTTAAAAAGAACATTACTAAGAATACTTATCATATCTGTGTATGTGCTTGCGTATGTTTGTGTCTTCATCATTGTTATTGAGAGACACCTTTTTCAAATATTTATAGCCTTTTTTTGGAAAAAAGTTTTTTTTCCTACTCTTACTACTATCCCTAGTAATTTTATAAGTAGTATACTACAAGGCAAGAAAAATAATTACTAAGCGAAGAAATAGAATCATAATAAGTATAATATGTTCACTTGTTTGCTTTTTTTTCTTAACAAATTAAATTCAAATAGATAATTAATAAAAAATTTAAAAGTAATTCTTTTTTCTCATTTGTAATGTTGCTTCTGTTACTATGGTAATATCTCATTTTTCATCCCTTTCTCTTGTTCATCGTTCATACTTTTCAATTTCATTCTAATATTGCGTTTCTACCATTAATTTATCTTATCTATGCTTATAGTTACCTTACATACGATATATATAGGATATACGATCATTATTATTTATTTTTTTTGTTATTGTTTTTACATAGTAAAAGTTGAATGTCGGTAGTTCAACAAGAATGATTACGGTTTAATATGTTTATGCGTGTTGTTTAATTTGTTTTTATTCATGTAATTAAAAATTCAATAATTCATTATCATTATAATTATAATTAATATTTCTGTTTACTTTGTATCATAATAGCGTATGTAGTATTAGTTTCTGGTCAAGGTTTTATAACTATATATAAATATATAGATTGATAGCATGACTTACTCAAATATTATTTATTATTTTCGGGAAATATTCATTAATGAATTTGTTTTTCAACAAATTAATACAATTTACTATCCATTATATTGTTTATGTTAAGCATCTTCTGTACTTAGGATTTTGTTCCGGTGATTTATTTATTTAAACACATAAATATTGGTACAAGGAAGCACCAGATACATATGCGCCACACAAATCTCATTTGATATGTGTGAGGGCTGTGATACTGCCCATGTGTCCAAACTGAAGCAGGTGGTTTTCTTAGGGGTTAAACCTGGAGCTTTTGACCTAAAGATCTGATTTACAAGGCAGTAGAGCATCGCAAGGAGATGCAGTCCCATGGTAGCCAGTGATCAACGATTGATTCATACGCCATTTGTTCCCTCAGGATACTGTAGCCCATGTGCACCATTGGTTTGGAATCAGGGTTTTCCAACTCCTCTAGGTGGACTCGCCTTGTCCACCAACCCGGTTAAAACGCCGAATATTCGCTTTTCGTCCTCTCAATTTCGTAAACAACAGTAATGCCACGAGAAGGTATTGAGTAGGACTTCTGTGGCAGAGGCTATATACGCGTGGTTATGTGAGATCGTTTGGAGAGGGAGAGAGGACTGTCCCCACTCTCGGCCGTACCAGGGTATTTGGGGGCTCTGATAATTTATTTAATTTCATTTTTTTCTAAGTTGATTTTATATTCATTCGTTAAACGTTTGTTTTTGTTTTTGTTATGTATACTATGAAAAAGTAGATTTTACCATTGTTCTTCATTGTCTCTGTTCTGCGGCATTAGTATTTCGAGTTAATATACGTGTTACAAAATGATTAGATAATTGGGAATCTATTGATTTAGTTTTTGATATTTTTGTGCTACAATTAGCTTTTCAGTAGTGCAATTCTGAAATAGTAATTGACAGAAAGCTCACACTGACAAGGTCTTACGTTTTTTCAAATACCTATCAGTGGAATGTATGCATAACATCTCTGTAAACACTATCCATCTTTTCCCATTATGATAGCAGTATTTATGTGCAAATTATTGTTAATGTATTTAAATTGACGATGTATTATTACTCGATATCCTTATCGTACAGTTTAGTGTCAGTATCTTCCATTTTGGATTTAGCATTTCAATAATTGAAACAACAATTTCTGCTGGTTATTACCGCCACTTAGTAACTGATCATGATGTTGAATTTTAAGTGTTTAATATTTTAAGTCCAACGATGAAAATGCTCTCTCTCTCGACATATATATATATATATATATATATATATATATATATGGAATTATTAAAATTGCTAATTTACACTTGTTGTCGACATGTTACTGGCGTTTTCTTGTTTTGAAAATTTAACAATTGGCTATTTAATGACTGTCTAGTTGTATATGAAAATTAAACCACTTAATTATGTACGGATTGCCTTAAGCTGATCTAATTATGGACTGGAAAATCTTTGTCCAAAATACTATTACGTCAGATGTAAAATATATTTGGAATATTCTATTTTTCGTTGTGTATTGATGTAAGTCCAGGTGAATAATTGTGATGAACCTATTTAGCTTGTACATATTTTTATGGTTAAATGTAGAATAGGTTGACTAATAACTTCTTCGACAGATTACTTAGTTCTCCTACTCATTTGAATATTAAGAAATGTGTGTTAAGTTATTATTTTTCTTGTTATTATAAACCATTCATCTTCTGATTTATTTTTTATTGTTAAGTCAAGTCTTTGCAATAAACTTATTAGTCAGAAATACTGTTTCACTAAACTTTCAGTTACCGAAATTTGAGTTAGTGAAATTTTAGATTGAGATTTTGTGCATTAAACAGTGAGGTACATCTGGTATCTTCAGTGAATTAGTATTTTAAATAATCCATCAATTTATAATAAACAATGTTTTCTAATTAGTCGTGCACTCATCTTTTCCGTATATATTCGAACCTATGATTTGGAACTAGGGTTTCGAGTTTGTAAGTATTGTATCATTAATTTTGTTTGAACAACTGACTGATATTATTACAAATCGTACAGTATCTGTAGTTGCATAGCTTTCCAATTATGTGTAGTGTATAATAAAGACATGTTTGTTGATAGTGTCCATCATTATTTGTTTCATTTCAATGACGTAAATTTTCCTCTTTTCTTTTCATACTTTTCAAGAGTGAAGGTATGCATGAAAGTTGTTTCACTAAAGCTCTTCAATGTATTCGAAGCACTGGTCTACGTTTAGATAATGTTATGAAAAACACTGGTAAACGTAAATACGCATTCAATCGTCTCCAGCTTTTATCATTTCCAAGATTGTATAGACCACCAATGGGAACATATTCTACAAATGTATCATCTTAATATATATCGTCGATAATAGATTTATTCAACAATCACTTTGATTGATTCGTTATTGATTCTTATTTTCTCTATCTACTTTTCTCTAGTTTCATTATATTATTGAGGAAAACAAAAAAAGAGTCATTCTTTCTTTTGATATTTGAGCAATGGATTTATCTTTTAGTGAAGTATATGTACGTTTCAATACCTTTATCATTATTATTGTTATTACTATCATTACTACTGCTAACAAAATAATAAGGATAAGACTATATTAATGATAACTGACTTTGTAGTCACGTTGATTCCCCCTCCCCTGATTTTCGTTTTTCTTAACCTCATTCTTTCCTTTGTGTCATTGTATTTTGTAAAAAAAAGTTTCCTTTATTCATTCCATAAAAGACTTACTCATTATTTGCCATTAATTTTGATTGTATAGATGTATTTCTACTTTTTCTTTGATAATAATGACAATAATGATTGAATTCATTCATATCAATTAATTTATCCTTTATTCATTAATGTATATTTGTTATATCTTAAGAAGTAATTACTTATTCTACTTTATTGCACGCAAAATGTAATTAATGTCGGTAACTACTGCTCTTAATATGGTGTGCATATATACATATACATGTTGAAACGATAAGTGTATATTTAGTTCATTTTTATTCTTTCCACATAACATAAGTGTGTATAAGTAGAAAATGAACTATTGTTAAGCATTATGATGAATATTTCAATGTACAATAATTTCTCAGCTGTCGCCGGTCTATGATTTAAAACAAACAAATAAACTAAACCTTCTTAAATCATTTTTGAGGATTTTTTTTCTTTATTTTTGATATTCTATTGAATTGAATTATTTAAACCATGACGTGACTATATGTTAAGTTTTATAGTGTGAATTTGTTAATTATTCAAAATGATATTTTGGCTTTTAGTATTTTTCGGAAAAAATTTATTTTGTTAAATGTCGAAAGTGTTAGACATATGTTAATTAACATAATATTTTTATTTATTTATTTAAACACAAATATGGGTACAAGGTGGCACCATGTATATATGCGCTGGAGAAATCTCGTTTGATTTGTGTGAAGGCTGTGATACTGACCGGGTGCCCAAACTGAAGCAGGCGGTTTTCTTAGGGGTTAAACCTGAAGCTTTTGACCTAAAGGTCTGATCCACAAGGTGGTGGAGCATCGTGAGGAGATGCAGTCCCATTGTAGCCAGTGACCAACGATTGATTCATACGCCATTCGTTCCATCAGAATACTGGAGCTCATGTACACCATTGGTTTGGAATCAAGGTTTTCCAACTCCCTGAGATGGACTTTCCGTGTCCACCAACCCTGTTAAAGCGCCGGACATTCGCCTTTCGTTCTTTCAGTTTCGTAAATATTAGTGATGTCACGAGAAGGCAGTGAGTAGGACTTCCCTGGCAGATGCTATATACATGTGGCCACGTGAGAGCATTTGAAGAGGGAGAGCGGACTCTCCACTCTCGGCCGTACCAGGGCGTTCGGGGGCAATGAACATCATAGGAAACTACATAAATCATGGAGAATAACCAAATGTAGATAATTGTAAACGTGAAGTTGAATAGAATAATATTAAAGTTTAAAAAAAGAAATATAGCTACGAAATGTATTCAAGTACAGAAATCTTTAAACAGCATAATTGGGAAAATATATTCATCTTACTATCTTCAAACAAAAATTATAGTCTTAGCTTCAGAAGGTTCCATTTTAGCTCACGTAGTTCAAATGAACTAAAAGCCCAAGAAATAGCTATTTAGGTTTATTTTTTAGCTCTTCTATTACTTTAACCACATTGTGGCTCCATAATTGATCGAACATCTTTACCATAAGGTAAACTAATGTGCTTATTTACTCCCACTCTATATTTGACTGGACTCACATCATTGGTTTCGTTATTTTTCTCTTTGTAGGAGTATAATAGCACCCGATTTTCTATATTTCAATATGAATCGCTTTGTGCATTACGTAATCTCACTGTACATTTAATATTATTCGCAGTTATATAATTATTCCATTTAACCTAGTTTACTGATACTGATTTTGATTATTAATCTGAGAATTTTATTTAACTGACAACCCGATTTTTTCAGTCATTATATGTTAATCGTTTTGGTTCCTATTAAAGTCTACAAAACTACATTAATTACAGTCAATTCTTAATCCATAATCTGTGTTCAAAGTTGGATCGTACACCTTTATATTATTTATTTAATATCTAACAAATATTCCCGAAAACGCATTATTTTTTGAATGGTTTCCATATTTTCTGTCGTTACTAATCAGGATTGAACTATTCAGTCCCCGGTAAATCTTGGCTCCTTGAACGAACGTTTCACTATTTTCATATAGTAGTTTCTATGTGCTCTATCTGCAAACGTTTTGTAAATGTGAGAAATGAATCAGTTTACATTTTATTAAACTGATGATTATTTGTTAGTTAATGTTCTTAAATACATTCCAGTTTGTAAAGCTTACTTTATACTTGTATTAATCTCCTTATCTATAGGCCTACTTTTCTATCCACCTACTTGTATAATATATTTAGTTAACGTTAGGTTAAAGTCTCTTTCTGTTGGATGTAAAAATCAAGTACGGAAATTTATTTTGTTATATGCATTGGATATTATATGTTTTAAAATTCAAAGCATTACAGGGCTTGTTTCAAAGAATTTGCTTCTCTCCAATTGGAAAAAATCATCTCATCGTTTTGTAGTCATTAAAACTTTGATTATAAATAAATTAAAATGGTCGAGACAATACATTCGACAAGAATTTACTAAGGAAATTGTTAATATAAGTGTATATCATCAAATTATTAAATTCTTGATATCCAGAAAGATAAATTCTTGAAACAGGTTAACTTTTTCATTCCTTCAATTGGCTATCAATAATATTCTGCGAACAATTCTCATGGAAATATCAAGTGATATTGTAGATCTATTATTTTTGAATATATAAAATGTTGGCTATGAAAGTTTTATGGAATCAGTTCGTAATCAGCATCGAAAATTACTGTACATGATTTATTAGAAATTGACCACAATTTATAAAGCATGTTACTTACTTACTTACGCCTGTTACCCCTCGTGGAGGAGCATAGGCCTCACACTAGCATTCTCCATCCAACCCTGTCCTGGGCGATCCTTTCTAGTTGTTATCATCATTTTCATATTTGCTTCTTTTTCCTGGCGTAATGTGTTCTCTGACCTTCCTCTTTCCCTTTCGGATTCCAAGTTAGGGCTTTTCTCGTGATGCAGTTTGGTGAGTTCCTCAATGTATGTCCTATCCACTTCCAACATCTTTTCCTAATTTCTATTAAGCATGTCATTTCTATTCATGTCCATTCATTATCAAATTTTATTATAAAATCCTTAGAACTTTAATTAAATTCAATCATATTTACATTTAATGGGAAATAATGTAAGTAAACGAATGAAATAATAACAAGATCACTAAATTTCACATTGTAATAAACTAATTCAAAAAATATTCGTAAAATTAACATTGAACATTGTCATATTCATGATAAACAGTCTTTGAAATATTTGCTTGATCAACTATTTTTTTATTCATTAAAAGAAACACTTAAACAGGATAACACGAATTATACAATCGTAAATTGTTATGTTGAGTGAATGAGTGCGTATGTGCACTGTTTAATATATGAAGTGATAAGACTGCCAATTAGAGAGCAGCGAATTATCGATCAGACCAGTGATACAGAAAAGCCGTATAAGCAGTCCTGAGTACTTATCAGTTCTGCTTTCTGCCTAGCCCAGCCAGTTAAGTCCAGAACACCAATTACAGCCTCTGCAATATGGATCATTTATTTCAAACATACTGGGTTTATATACCAAACAGACAGACCACATCGTATCATAAAATAAAAAATAACATTTGTACAAGGTTTGGCCAAATGTGGCTGTGAATAAGAGGAACAGTGATTAATAGACTGGGTATAACTAAGGAATGGCAAATCGTACGGTATTAGTCTTCGGGATATAACAAAATAAAATTCAATATGATTTAATTGATAACAAAGATATTTGTATGATTTTCCAAGCCAGTAAATAGTTTTTTATTGTTGTTAAAAAGTGACATATTTCTTAATCTGCTTTCCTCTGTTTGCTATTAAGAAATATAATTTAGGGGTATATTTAAAATGTCAGGAGCTTAGCTAGTCAATTTGAGATCCAGACATGAAAAAATCGCTCACGTTAGTGTTATTTTTTGTCTAAGGAGAGAGGAGAAAGATTAAAATAAGGAGATTTACTGACTAAACTGATATTGCTACATCAGCATTTTGATTTCGTCTTCGACAGAGGATAAATATTATGGGACTTGATGAGAAAATCTTAAATGTGGAACGTTTTTGATGATTACTGTTAAAATATATACGATGAACTAAAAAATAGACATTATTGTTTGTTCGGCAATTAATGTCTATAAATACGTAGGTTCTGTTAAATACAGTGTTTCCAGTCGCTTATAATTTACTGGATATCGAAACTATTGCACCATAGCATATAATTCCTACTATAATTGCTAAACTGCATTCATCTATTAATGAACTATAGTTGTTATTATAGCATACTGTAAAAATAGACTTTTTTTTCTTTATATAAGCTAAATATGAACCATGAGGTTTTGTCTCAGGAGAAGTCTAGAACAGATTGATTGGTTGTTACATAGCAACCTATACGATGCTATCCATTAATTGATCGTCGTTATGTTACATCTAAAATATCTGTAATTTGTTCATTTAAATAATTTAATATTTTTGAATCGTTGGGTGTAGTCTATATAAAGATTTGGATTTCAGTTTTGTATCTTGAAACCTTCGCTAGTGAAGCACATAGACATCCTTAGGGCAAAGCTATTGTCTTCTAATACCTGTGTGATAAAATCTATAAATCGAGTTGCATACTGACATTTTACTTCAGGTTACGGATCTGCCAAACTGATAAATATCAACAGGAT